GAAGTTCTATCCTCTTCCTACCATCCAACTGTCCAATTTTGATCAAGAGAGTCACTCACCGTTTGATCTTAGATCCGACGTTTCAAAGTATTTTATTTTTAGTTTTTTTATACAAATTATATGAATATGAAATTTGGTACATGTCATCTTATCATTGGGTCGCACCTATAAAAAATATTAAAAATAATTTTTCAATAAAAAATAATGATCAAAATACCCTTTGAAACTTTTCAGGGTATTTTGGTCATTTTATTTATTGAAAATATTTTTTTTATATTTCTTTCTAGTGCAGGTTTAATAGAAAAATGGAGGTTTAATAGAAAAATGGACATCCAAAATTTAGTGTCAAAATAATTTATAGAAAAAAAATGAAAAATAAGATAGTGTAAAGCGTGACATTGTGATTGGGGCAATTTTAGCCCTCCATTCAGAATGAACGGTCGGATAAAGGGAAAGATATAACTTCTATGTTGTAGGGGAAGCATAGAAAGCTTGCCCTTAAATAACAGGAAAACTTTAAATGTTGTGTCACACATGCATAAAGTATGTGACAGTTACCCTAGCCGTTTGGTCTAGAATGTATAACTAGGATTGCTTTGGTCACAATATCATGTCTAACACCATTATATTTTTGATAAATTATTTATACATGAAATTTGAGGCATGCCTACACCTTATAAGGGTGCCCTAATAAAAAATACATTAAACAAATAACCAAAATATCCCAACAAGTGACTTGGGTATTTTGTTCATTTATTTTACCATAAATATTTTTTTGTTTTTATTAGGTGCTCCCCTATGAAAGGTAATTAAACCGTAAATTTCATGATAAAATAATTATGAAATAAAAACTAAAAATTGAATACAGTATTCGATCATCTGATGAGGATCAGATGATCAGAGGGCAGCTGGTGGCATCATGCTTGACGCTACTCCAACCATCCATTTAAATTGGATGACTGATAATAGCCATTTTGTTTTACACATGGGTGGTGCCACATAGAACGATTTTTTAAAGTAAAAGTTCTAAATTAATTTTGTTCTCGTGTACTTCAATTACTACCATTTTGTGATATTTCAAAAAATTATTTATTTGTAATTTAAAGAGACACTATATCTCTTGTCTTGATATGTTCTTCCAATTTTTTTTAATTCAAACGGAAGGAAAAAAGAAAAACAATGAACCAAGGTTTTAAAAAATAGATCTATGGCCCAGATCATTTATCTAAAAAACGGGGTTGGAGAAAATCAATGATCTAATTCAGATAATCTGTCGGATAAGCTAGTTTACGCCTCAAAAAAAATAAAAATAAAAATACTAAAATTTCTCAAAAATCTAGCATTTTAGGTTTCTAAAAAAAAGGGTATTGCATCATGATTTCCTATCAAGCATATCTATTATTTTCAATGTGAAGGTTTTTTTATTTGAGAGAAAATAATCACCTTTTGTAGAGAGAGAAAGGGCCTTGGATTTACAAAGACACCGCCTAGGGTTGCCATAGATGGGGCTTGAGCTTCTCTGGTTTTTTTGCAACCCGAGCTTCTCCTTATTCATGAAGAGACGGCGCTTCCCATGAGTGTGGTATGAGGGACAAGGCTCGCTTTTTGTAGAGAGAGAAATGATCTTGACTATGCAAA